CAGCTTTTAGTGGAACCAGGGCCTGCTTATTTATATGCCAAATGTAAATTTGCCATGGAACCAATGTTCAGGCTGCTCAGGGACAGCGAACACCTTGTAATACCTTATTAAAGAAAGGAAAAAAAAAATCTAATAAGCATATCAAACCTGACAGCATAATTTTTTAACAGATTCTCATCTCAAAGAAAGTTTATAAGCAATGAGTGCAGCTATAAGACAATTTTTCCTAGCATAATAATTGCAGAACAATTGTCCAATTAGCAGTTATGCACTGAGGGAATTCCTTTGCATTGTGGCCTTATTGTCTTTGTTCTGAAGAAAAATTCTGCCTTCAAGACTTCAAAATAATAAAAGGGTTCTTCATTATGTCAATAAGTTTGGATGGAGTCCCCATGGCACAGGGACCTTGCCTTGCAATAAAGCCTGGTAATGAATCATAAGAATCATCTGTTCCTACTTAAACTTGCTCATACCCTCCACAGCAGGGGGAGACCTTGACTAAAGGCTCCAAGGAAAGGAGAACCTTTGGAAGGTGAAAGAACCAGGATCAGTTGGGATTAAGATCCTCAGTACTCCTTGAGCCACACCCTCACTTACAGGCCTCTCAAAAACAAAAAACAAAAAAACAACAACAAAAACTAGAAAACATATAAATCACATATACAATTAAATTCTACTCAAGAAATATTTATGGGACATCCAGTTCGCATGGGTCTTACACATTTGGAAACCAGAACTTCAAACTCTCCCAACCCTGTATCTCACCTAATCAATCAACAAATAACAATTTTTCCCACTGTCCTTCAAGCCGCTCTACTTCCTCCAATACCATTGAACAATAAGAGCCTCAAGAAGACAGAATACAGTTCAATCAAAGGAAGAACTTTCTACCAAGCAGAAATGACTAGGGAGGCAGAGTTTTTGTCTCTAAAAGAATAAGGCAGAGTTCTTGTCTCTAAAAGAATACTAAAAGGGACTGCCAGGATACTGCAGAGACTGTACAGGAAGGGACTGGAAAACAACATTTCTAAGGTCATTCTCAACTTCTGTAACACCTGAAAAGGTTTAAAACATAGTGTCAAGTTTTACATTTTTATGTAAAGTATGAGAATTTTCAATGCCCTCATCCAAAGCCAATTTGAAAATAAAATCTTAAAAGTGACAAGATAATATAAATATGGCAAAAGCAATAGATTTCTTATGTCAATTATAATTTTCAAAATATAGTGAAAAATTTTTTAATTAAAAATAATTAAGAATAGGATGTTATATAAAAAAACTATATTTCTTCTTGAAGACATGAATAAATATAGATATACACATATAGATATGTTCTTAAATGAGAAAAATAAACATAGTATGTTGATTCTTCCAAACTATTTCATAGAGTTAATCATTTTGGACATTTTGTGACCAATAATTCTTTGGGGTTTTTGTGTGTGTGCGTGTGTGTGTGTGTGTGTGTGTGTGTGTGTGTGTGTGTGTGTGTGTGTGTGTGTGTGTGTGTGTGTGTCGGGGGGGGGGATGTTGAGGAGCATCTCTAACCTCTAGCCACTAGACACCAGTAGCAGTCTCCTCAGTTGTGACAACCAATAGTAAATTCTGTCCAGATATTGCCAAATATCCCCAGGGACAATATCTCTCAAGTAGAGGGTCACTGATTTAATGCAAGTCCTATTCACTACTTTGACAATAGATTCTAAAGTTCATCAAAAGGAATAAACTATGCTAACAGTCAAAAAGTCTTTGAAAAAGAAAATATGGAGCTATGAAAATAAAAACCGGAATATAGAAAGAAGACTAGTTAAACTGAAGAAAGAGACTGTAAGCAAAAAATCATGATCTCAGATATATAACAATTAGCATAGGGTGATGGCATTACTAAGAATGGGAAGAGATTGTTCAATAAATGGTAATGGGGCAACTGTTTAATATTTGAGGGAGAATCAAAGCTAAATCTTTATTCACATTACATATGTTCTGATTATCTATTATTATATAAGAAATAATGCCAAAACTTAGGGTCCTGAAAACAATTTATTATTATCTCTTGTGGTTCTGGGGGTTGACCGGCCTCAACAGGATGCTCCTCACTTGGGGTCGCTCATGCATTGCAGTCAGATGTCAGCTAGGGCTTGCAATTATCTGAAGGATGGACTAGATGAACATCTAAGGTGGCTCACTTACATGCTGACTGTCAATGAAAATGCCGACATATGACCTTTGCATATGGCCTGGGCTTCTCACAACATGGAGGCTGACTTCCACAGGGCAGAAAAAAGGTAGCTTTTAGGACAGCTAGTGACTATCCCTGCAATAAGCACAGAATCACTTCTACCACATATTATTGGCAAAAATAATCTCAAGCTCACCCAAATTCAAAGGGATAGTGAAATGAACTCCACCTCTTGACAAGGGAATGGCAAAGTCACACCACAGAAGAGTAAATGGAATAGGAGAGATGGTTTCAGTCATCACTGGAAAATATAAGCAGCCATAATAAGAATAAAATAAATTCTTGGGAAATTAAGAGCTAAATATTAAAAATAAAATATGAAATGACTGAAAGAAAATAGCTTTGAGTGTTTCCCCATTGTAGGATGCAGAAGACAATAATAAACAGATATAACTACAAAAACATTTTAGCTTAAAAACATCATAAACAAAATGAAAAAGCAAACAAATGGCTAGGAAAGTACTAGCATTCTATACAATAAACGGTTATGGGCTTAATATGTAAAGAGGCCTTACAAATCAATAATGAAGACAGACATTCCTATGAGATGGAAAAGGCAAAGGACATAAACAGTTTATAAAAGAAAAATCCAGTAGACAAGACATAAAATAGGCACTCTCAATATTCTGCAAATAGACTGATTAGGGAGTATAAAATATGATATAACCCATTTGGAAAGTAACTTGGTAATACAGTCAAGGGAACTTAAAATGTTCATTTGACCCAATTAAAGACATTTGTGATAATATAAATTTAATAAAAAAGCAAACTTGATTAAATAAATGTAGTACACTTCCTACACACATAGAAAATCATATTTTCAAATAATACTGAAGTATATGGGGGAAAGTTCATAATACAATGTAGAGAAACACAAAACTTTATTCAGATATTTATCATCACAATTACCTATCACAAGATATTCACACATATTATTTTCCTAAAATATTAACAATGGACATCTCTGTATCTGCGGAATACTGAGCAGGTGGTTTTATTTTGTTCTTTTTTTTTTTTCATTATTTAAAATTTTTCTACAGTAAACATGTATTATTTTTATATTCAGGTAAAATAATGCTTTTCAAAGAAAAAATACTAGTACTGATGGGTAAAAAACTGAAAAGGTCATATGTTATTAAGTAACTGCTGAAAGATTAAAAAGACAGTTTAAAAGCAGGAGAATAAGCATGATTATGCAGCCAGTGACATCAAGGGCGATTACACCTGGAACCACTGACCCATTACATGGCCCATTTGGTCCAAAACTGAGTCATTTTTCCAGGCTCATGACCTGGCCATGGCATAGATTCTCATGTAGTGTTTCAATGTGACTGCTTTATAAACTTTTCTTTTACCCTTTTCAATATTCAGTCTATTTGTTTTCTTTGGTGAATTAAAAAGGTTTGTTCCTTTCTTCAGAGGCTTTTCAAATGATGAAATACTTAGGAAAAATTCATACGCACACATAGGAAAACATTTGCCTCTGCTCTCCTTTAACCAAAAGCCCTCCTGAATTTCAGTGTGTCCTGGTCAGCTACAGACTCTACTGTTCCTTCGAATGGAAGAAACGTGTGAATAGCAACACCCTAGGTTCCCTGGTTCTCAAACTTGACTGTGTACCTGAATCCCCTAGAGAGTCTGTAAAAACACGGAATGCTGGGCTTCTGATTCAGTAGTTTTGTAGTGGAGCCTAAGAATCTGAATTTCTATGAGGTTCCCAGGTGATGCTGATATTACTGTTGCTCTGTGGACTCTCACTTTGAGAACCGCTGCTCAAGATCACATGAACAACTAAGCATCTACCCACTGTGCTACAAGTATTCATTTATCTCGATTATTCACATTAACGATATATTATGTGATAGTCATTCGCACATTTAATCATCCATAACTCAAATAAATCCTGGAACCCCTCATTCCAGTTTCAAATGGAGTAGTCCATTCAAAGAAACAAATGCCAGCAATGTAATCATCTTTTCTGCCATCACTCTCTGCCATCTCCCATGACTGACAAGTCTCATACCCTTCAGCAGCCCCAAAGCCTTCCTTCACTCTTCCGCTCTCCCACATAGTAAAACTAACTCTCCCTGACGTTCCCATAGAAATAAGATCCTTTCTTTCCTGCTCTCCATTCTTCCACTATTCTTTTTGAACATAAATTTCTCTGCTCCCATCTTCTGTCTCCCCTTACTATTTAACTTATTCAAACCCCAAAACAGGCAGAGTGGGGTGGTGGTACTATGGAAAACTACAATATTTCTTTCTTTACAGGTAACACTATATTTTCCTTAATAGGCAAACAGAGAGAGAAGCACTCAAGCACACAAGCATTAATAATTTTTGTCCCTGTTACCCATCTATCCATCCATCTTTCTCTCCCTCCTTCCCTCCCTCCCTCAATCCAATCCGTTCAATACATACTTACCAGGTGTCTACTATATAACAGGCCTGGTGTTAGGGTATTAGAGAACTAGAGAACCTGAAGCGAAGAAAGGTGGGCTCATCTGAGAAGGTATTGGATAAATATAGCTAGCCTGAATTTTATGTCCCTTAAAACCCACTGGCAGATATCTGAAATACCTTCTTCAGAGTTTCATTCCCTTGCTTTCACCCCATTAAAATGTACATGCCCTTGTTAAGAGTAGCCCTTTAAGTTTCCAAGGGTTACTCACACCTAAGTGTGAATAAGTTTAAAGCCTTTATCTGATGAAGAGGGCTCCGAATGTCTTATAGAAAGAACAGAAATGTTTTTTTAAGGAAGAAAAGGGTATAAGATGAGAGTCTATGGAGACAAACCATATCTTTCCCTGATTGTGACTTTCTTGGAGGGTGTTTCTGAAATGCCCTCTCCAACCTAGTTGCATATGGTACTGCAATGGTGTGCTGCCTAGACTAACAGCATCAGCATCACCTAAAAACTTGTCAGAAATGCAAATTCTCAGGCCCTATCCCATACCTACTGAATCAGAAACTTTAGGGGTAGAACCCACCCACTGGCTTTTCCACAGTCCCTTTGGGGAATTCTCATCCACACTCAATTTTAAGAAGCACTGCTCTAACATCTATGACAGCACTTCCCTCTCTACTATTAGTATGTACCATTACTATGGGACTTAAAGATTTGTCAGACTCCTTTATTATTATAAGAATGTCACTTTTAGAAAGGTGCACGAGGGAATTATAAACTACTCTTTGAGAGCTAAGCTCTGTGATAATAGGACAGAGAAGAAGTGCCTATAGCTGAGTAGGGAGCCACTGGTTATTGGTAAGGGTTCATTTTAACAGCTCTGTTAGGGTAAGTTGTCTGCCTCCCAAATTGGTGCAACTCGCAATGACCATCAAAGCAGGAGTGGTTTTACCTTCCTTTTAAAAATCTCAGAGTTCTTAACAGGGTATGTCTTCACATGCAGTTGAAAGGGGCCCACAAGAATCCCCATTGCACAATGAAATGTTCATCTCATGTTATTTAGCATCCTTGGTCTCTCTTTGGAAGGGAAAGGGAAGGGAGGAAGATGCATATTTTTAGAACTAGGGAACGATTTATCATTCAACGAAACAGCATAGATAGAGGCTTAAATCAAGTGTGTGGAAATAATATGTTGTTATTACTAGTCTTAACTATGCTAAATTATAACCTATAAACCCTGCAATGCTTGACTTAAATATCTCATCCATGTTTGCAGGAAATTTAAATGGTTATTTCCTCCTTGCATTACAGGAGGATTAACTGTTGCTACCACAAAGCATACATGAGGAGCATGTTATACAGGATGTCAATGTAACCAGGCATGATTGATAAGCACACAGCCCATATCACGTATGTATTCTGGGAGGCTTTATGTGTAGTTAATTAGTTTAGCTATTGCTTTCATGGTTCATTTAGAAGCTTCATGCTTCATTAAATATCAATAAATTTTATCCTCAAAAAACCCTTTCAGTAAAAATATGATTGTCTCTTCAAGTGATAATCTTGTTAATGGATGTATATATTGCAAGCCTGTCTATCAGGGCTGACAATATTCTGAATTGCCATGGTTGCAGAACCCTGAAGTAATATGCAAATTTTATTCTATAGTTTAAAACACATGCCTCATTTTCTTACGGTACGGAGGGAAATCTTTTTAAACTTTCCAAAAACGATGCATCTTTTAAGCTTCTATTTTTATTTCATCAAGAATGCCTACTTATGTTTCATAAGCTACTTTTATCCATTACATCAATTCCAAGTTCTCTTTATTGGAAAGGCAAGCTTTTAGCAACTTTTCATAGCATGAAAGAGAAGTTTTCAGGAAACGTGTTCTTTACCTCCCTGATACATGGAGCAAACAGAGAGGACAAGGGTCACAACTACTGGGCTTATCTTGTCAGGTATTACAGTCAACTCTATTAATAAATTGTCTGGGCTATTCATTGAATGCCAGGAGCAGTTGAATCAATTGGAGAGGGGGGTCAGGATGAGGAAAAAAAGAGTTTCATCTACCTAAGCAGAAAAAGCACTTTCTGATACACTTTCTCTTGCCTTCCACGTCCAGCTCACATATCTGCTCTGTGAAGACATCTCCAACTTGCTCAGAGAGGGACGTTGTTACTCTTTTCCTTATTTTCCTACAGCATTTTGTCAATGCTTTCATTACAGAATGTATTATAATGTATTACAGCTATTCATTCATTCATTCATCCATGCATTCAACAAAAATGTATTTCTAAGGATACAATGATAAACAAGACAAGTAAGATCTTTTTCATAAAATGCACATTCCAGTGGTGAGGAGATACACAATAAAACAAGTGAATGAATAAATGAACAAAATAATTTCAATAATAAGTGCCATAAAAGAAAGAAAACAGGTAGGTGTGATTGAGAATCATGGAGGGAGGGGTTGGTTTACTTTTGACTAAGTGACAAAAAGGTCTATGGAAGACACAGCTCATAAGATGAGATGCAAATGGTGAGAAGAAACCAGCCATGCAACAACATGGGGCAGAGTCCCAAGCAGAAGAAACTGCAAGGACAAAGATCTGAAGTCTGACCCAGCTTGGTGTATTGGAGGAAAAAACAAAAACAAAAACAAAAACAAAAGCAAAAACAGGCTGGTTGGAATGTACTCAGCAAAGAGGAGAGTGGTACCAGATAAATTTAGAGATGACTTAACAATTTTAAACTATGAGCTCCTAGAAGATAGGGCCCAAGTCTTACTTAAGTTTGCATATCTAACCTTTAGTCTCATATCTGACACATGG